GTCCTGGGGTTTGAACTCAAAGCCTGAACACTGTCTCTGAGCTTCTTTTTGCTCAAGGCCAGCACACAGTGCCATGTCCAGCTTTTTCTGTTTATGTGGTACTGAGGAGCTGAACCCAGGGCTTCATGCATGCTAGGCAAGCACTGTACCACTAAGCCACATTCCCAGCCCTGGCCTCCTAGGATTTTTCTTTAATATTAATGTGCAAAGAATACATTTCATTTGTTTGAACTCAAGGCCTCCCACTTGCTAGCCAGGCACTCTATTACTTAAGTCACTCTACACATAACACTTTTTGGAACTAAATAGAAGTTTACTATTTATACCAGGTAATTTACTTCTTTTAACTTTTATATTATAGAAAAATTTACACATCTTCAAAAGAAAATATACAGTATAACGGACTCCCATAGAGATAGTCACGGGCTTTCACAATGTTCATCTCTTGGCTAAATGTAAGCCACTAGCATGACCTCTGTGTATCTCTGTATGGAAAATGAGGATTACTTTCTCTTTTTCCTATTATATTTTGTATCACAAGCTATATGACCCAGGAGTTCATGCCTGAAATCCTAGCTACTCAGGAGGCTAAAATCTGAGGATCAAGGTTTCAAAACCAGCCCAGGCAGAAAGTCTTTGAGACTCTTATCTCTAATTAACCAGCAAAAAAACAGAAGTAAAAGTATGGCTCAAGGGGTATAGTGTGCCAGGCTTGAGTGAAAGAGCTAAGGAAAAGCACAAAGCCCTGAGTTCAAGATCCCACCTTCCACGCATGTGCGGACACACACACACACAAATCAATCATTGTAGAGTATACTTATTTATTCATTTATTTATGTTGGTACTTTTAAAACACACAGAAGCAGCTGGGTACTGGTGGCTCACATGGCTCACATCTATAAATCTAGCTACTCAGGAGGTTAAGATCCATTATTGTGGTTGGAAGCTAACCTAGGCAGGAAAGTCTGTAATTCTCTTATCTCCACTATACTACCAAAAAAGCTGGAAGTAGAACTGTGGCTCTACTGTGGTAGAGAGCTAGCCAACACAAGCTCAGGGACAGTGTCCAAGCCCTGAATTCAAGCCCCAAGACTGGTACACACACACACACACACATACACACACCCACCCCCCCACACACACACAGAAACACATTAGAAAAAAATTGTCTGTCTCTCTCTCTCTCTCTTTCTCTGTCTCTCAAAACACTGCTACCCAGTAACAATGATATGTATGCCAATGGGTGACATTTTGTGTACAATAAACTACAATATGTATTAGTATATAACACAATGTTATATACTAATATACTGAGCCACCTTCTCAGCCTGATTTATTCTTTATTGTATAACTTTTCTGCACTGATCACATATAATTGTATAATAATACAATATTTTAAAAAAGAATTGGGCTAGGAAGGTGGCTCAGTGGTAGAGCGCTTGCCTTGCAAGCATGAGGCCCTGAGTTCGATTCCTCAACACCACATAAGCAAAAAGAAAAAAGCCGGAAGTGGCGCTGTGGCTCAAGTGGTAGAGCGCTAGCCTTGAGCTGAAGAGCTGAGGGACAGCGCCCAGGCCCAGAGTTCAGGCCCCACGACCAGACCTCCAAAAAATAAAGAAAGAAAGAATAAATCATCCATAATTCCTTTACCCAGAGATAATATTAACATTTTAATGTCTTTGTCTAATATCTATGCTTTTTAAAGCAGCTTTCATGAAATGTGATTCTCATACTATACAATCCATCCATTGAAGTGTGTAATTCTAAGGGTTTTTTTGTCTACTCCCAGGATTGTGCCATTACCATAATCAATTTTAGAGCATTTTTAATATCCCAAAAGAAGCCCAATTAGCAAACCTGAGCAATCACTTTCCATTTAGCTATAACTGCTGGTACCATCAGCGCAGTCACTGATCCTTTTCTGTCTCTGTGGGTTTGTGCAATCTGGCTATTTCACATAAATGGAAACCTACAGTGCGTGGTCCTTTGTTTCTGGTTTGCACTTAATGTTATACTTGAGCCCTACCTCTAGTCCCCTTTTCTAGTTTTTTTTTGCCAGTAGGGTCTCCTGTTTTAGTCCTGGCTGGTCTCAGATCACAATCCTCCTATCTCTTCTCCAGAGTTGCTGGGACCATTACACACAGCCACTGGGGCTTCTTTCTGAGGTAAAGAAATTATTCTAAAATTGATTGAGGTAATATTATATCACTTCGAGTATATTTAAAAATAAACACACTATATAACTTATATGGGCAATTTGTATAGTATGTGGAACATATTTGAGTAGAGCTATTTTAAATAAAATTATATCAAGCCATACTGGAACAAACCCCCTTAGTTTTAGACATTCAGATTGTTTCAGTAATTAGGTCATCATACCAGATAATCTGACATACTTCTCAGTACATATGCATCTATTTGCTCATATCTGGTGGCTTCAAAAAAGAAAAGAAAAGAAAGTAAACTCTTTTCCTAGTACTATGTGTTATTATGTTAAAAGGTCTGTCCACTTTGGTTTTGTATATAAATTCTAAATTTCTTTTTGATTTTACATAACAAATGTTTTTAGCATTTCTTTTTTGCTTTTTATCTTTCTTTCCCCCTGTTTTTTTTAGTGGAACTGGTCTTGAATGGACTGGGCAGAGCCTCTTCCATCTGAGTCACTTCGCCAGTCCCTTTTTGAGTTGGATCTTTTATTTTTTTCAAGATAGGGCCTTCAGTCCTCCTATTAATGCTTCGCTGGGTCACTAGAACAACAGGTACATGCCACCACACCCAAATACTAGTTGGGATGAAGTCTTAATTTTTTTCCCCAAAGTAGATGCAAATTACAATCCCCAATCTCCTCCGCTCAAGTAGCTAGAATTGTAGGCTTGAGCCCCCACCCCTGGCTTTATTTTCTCCCTAAAAATTATTTGACCAGTTGAGTATCTGAGTAAGTAAAGCTTTCTAAGCTAAGATTCCATTTCTCTACTAACTTCAATATAATTCAACAGAACAGGAAAGAATATTAACACACTTATTTCTCTCATGCTAATAATTAACTAGGGGAGAAAGCAAACAGTTTAGTTCATAGATATCAATCTATAGTTAAGCCGGGCGCTGGTGGCTCACACCTGTAATCCTAGCTACTCAGGAGGCTGAGATCTGAGGATCGAGGTTCAAAGCCAGCCCGGGCAGGAGAGATCGTGAGACTCCTATCTCCAATAAAACCACCAGAAAGCCGGAAGTGGTGCTGTAGCTCAAGTGGTAGAGCGCTCGCCTTGAGCTGAAGAGCTGAGGGACAGCACCCAGGCCCAGAGTTCAAGCCCCACGGCCGGCCAAAAAAAAAAAAAAAAAAGAAATCAATCTATAGTTAATACAGAGATTTCCAAGTATTATTTTCATACCTGAGAGAACACCTGGTAGCTCCTGTCAAAGCAAGGATATAATCCATCCTAAAGTACTAGAACATAGCTGATATCTCTTTCCCTTTCATTTACATGCAGTCATCACTCACTCCCTTAACATCTGAACATTCACCGTGAATGCCAGCACTTGAGCTACAGAAATCAGAAACATTCGTGTACATGTTAAATAAATTTTAGATTTTCTTTATGAATATCAAAGACTTTCTTTAGCTGAGTGCTCCTGGCTCATGCCTGTAATCCTAGCTACTCAGGAAACGGAGGTCTGAGCATCACAGTTCAAAAGCCAGCCTGGGCAGAAAAATCCATGAGCTTATCTCTAGTAAACTACTCAGAAAAGGCCAGAAGTGGTGCTCTGGCTCAAGTGGTAGAGCACTAGCCTTAAGCACAAAGAGGCTCAGAGACAATGCCCAGGCCCTGAGTTCAACACCCAGGACAGGGATGGGGGGGGAAGAGGTTGGGGGAGTTTTCTTCCTATATAGGGTAAGTTTTCATCTTGTCATCTCTTATTTTCAAAAATGAATACAACTAATGCTGCAGAAAAACTGGCACTGGGGGTAATAGCCATTTAAACTTATTGTTGTTTCTTGAATAATTTACAAGTTTTGTTTTATGACAGTACTGAGGTTTGATCGTAGGACCTGGGCACTGTCGGTTAATTTTTTCTTCTCCTAAAACTAGTTCTCTACCACTTGAGCCGCAGCTCCACTTCTGACTTTCTATGTGGTTAATTGGAGAGAAAAGTTTCTGCCCAGACTGACTTTGAACTGTGAGCCTCAGATCTCAGCCTCCTAACTAGCTAGAATTAGAGGCATGAGCCACCAGTGCCCAGCTCTAACATGAGATCTGTGGTGAATTCTTCACACACATTTTCAGGACACTGTCACACCCCAGGGCTGTGCAGTTAGGATGCTGATGGTAGAACCTTGTCTTGCTGGGAAAAGAACATAAATTAGCCTTGGGAGCTTTGGGCACATTACCAAGATTGGATGAATGCCACTTTTACTTAATTACAAGAGATCCTGAATTGTGGGCACAAAGCCCAGCTTAAAAGAAAACTAAATAAAATCCTGATTTTTCTTTGACAATGCTTATGAGGGAAAGAAAAGATCCATCTTTCCATCCAGCATGAAATTGAAGAGCCATGAATTGCCAGCTAGAAATTCACATTCATCAGACTGTCAGTGAGCAACTATAAATTTTGAACTGCTAACTGGACTCTGGAAAGTAAATGAGTCATTTGTACCAGAGCAAACGCTTGTATAGCATGCCAGCTGCAAGCCTACTTAGCAGCGGCCAGGTAAAAGTCTCGTTTTGCTCCCATGATGAAGGCCTTTGGGACACATAGACTTGTCACTACCCCAGGAATGCCAGCAGTTCTGTTTGGCTTTGATTTATATTTAGCACAATTGTAGAGACTTTGCACCTCGCTCTTAGACTTCCTTGTAGTTGTTTGTTTTTTAAGTCATTCTTTGATATCACTGTTGCTTTTCACTCCACTGTCTTTTATTAACTTCCTACAGGCTCTTCAATTCTTTTTTTTTTTTAATCATTGTGACAAAATAGACATATCATAAAATTTGCTGTCTTTAGGAATAGATAATCTCTATGAGAGGGCGCTTCACATCCGAAAACTCCTCCTGACCCTGCCCAGGTCGGTTCTTATTGTGATGAGGTACCTCTTCGCCTTCCTCAATCAGTAAGTACCCTGATGTACCCTCATGCTCTGCCAAAATGTCTACCTGAATTCTGCCAGTGTGCTTGGATCCTATAAACTATTTATCAGCAGAATCAGAGAGAAAGTGATTGAATATAGACTGAAGGCACATTTTTCCCCCTCAGATAAAGGCCTTGGCGTGATATATGAAAGCTGTGTCCCAGATGCAAAAACTATGACTGGCTAGAGTTGTGAGAAAAAAAATCCAATATTACTAAAAATAACATTTTCCAGTGAAATGTGTGGTTTTTTTTCAACTTCCATCCAAAGCTAATGTCATAAAGCGTTTGTCAACGTGATGAAAAACACCTGCTCATTGCAGAAATTTTCTGTAATTTTTAATGTCATAGTCAGGGTGAAGTGAAATTGGAGATGTAACATGTAAAGATTCAAAAATGAATGGCTGCATATTCCCCATAGTGAGACCTTGTGAAGCAGGAAATATTTCTAAACCAATAGAACAAATATCAAAAAGGTACCACATTAGCTGGGTGCTGGTGGCTCATGCCTATAATCTTAGCTATTCAAGAAGCTGAAATGGTGGTTTGAAGCCAGCCTGGGCAGGAAAGTCCATAAGAATCTTATCTCTAATTAGCCACCAGAAAGTGGAAAGTAGAATGTGACTCAAGTGGTAGAATACTATCTTTGAGCAAAAAAGCTCAAGAACCTAGGTCCTGAGTTCAAGCTCCAGGACTGATACAGAAAAAGACAACAGAAACAAAGCAAAACCTCATATTCTTTTCACAGAAACTTTACTTTGAATTTAGGCAACTTTTTAGTTATATTACCTCCTGGTATGTGGGAACATCTTGCCCAAGTCATATTCCAAGTTCTCATGTTACGCAATAGTTCAGTTAAATGGTTGGAAATATTAGAAATACAGGGCAAGTCAACGGTGGAGTAAGCTTGGAGAAATGTGCTCTCCTCTCAGTCTGGCATGAATTCCCCTTTATAAAATATCCTTCCTACAATATTTTCTCAACTCTTGTTTCACTTGAGGTTTTGCATTATCAAAGCCATGAAGATTTATTACAACCTGTTGGCTAGGCCTGAAATCAAACCCACAACAGGTTAGCTCCAAGAGCCAAGTATTAGGCAATAGGTAAATGCTGGCAGGGAACAAAACAGAATGGGACTCAACTGCTTGCCCTGTGGTGCCTAAAATAGTCCCAAATGATAGTAATAGAAGCTATTTGTTCTGAAAGCTGCTTGCTTCATTTTTGGTTGTATGTTTTCCCCCACCCCACCCAGTAGCAATTCTTGCTGGCCCTCTCCTTGCTTTCTAAAATTTTTTCTGACACATCTGAGCAAAATGAACCACAATTGAGTAGGAAAACCTTCTGTTAATTAAGGAAGTTCTCAAAGCCTGAATCCAACTCATCATGAGAATGGAAAATGCACCATGAGTCAGATAATTGGCCTTGCTTCCCATGGTTCTACCCAAAGATGGCCTCCTGCTTCTGTTATCTGCTTTCTTCCAGAGATCAGGACCCAACCTTTAGCTCAGGACACTTGAGAGAGGAATTTTGCACAGAAAGATTAATCTTTTCTATTGTAAAATTTAAAACTTGGAAATACTGTTTTTTCTTTTATTGCTATGAATTGGTTATACAAAAGAGTGTTAGTCTAACAAATCTGTTTATGTATAAAAGGCTTCTTGTTCATAATCACCCCTCTACCATATTCTCTCCCTCCCTTCTTCCCCTAGGAAATGGCATTTTCACGTCAAGCTTTGGCCAGGATTAAAATAAAACCCTGGAAAAAGATTGTGATTCTTCTCACTGAGCTCCAATGTGTCATTTGTTAGTCTGTTTTTATTGATTCAATTTTTTAGGTACTAGGGCTTGAACCTCAGGGCTTTGGCGCTGTGCCTTGATTTTGTTAAGTCTGTCATTCTACTACTTACGCCACAGCTTTAATTCCCCAGCATGTCTTTTGACAATTAGACCATTCATACTCTGAATCTTCTGCCCGATGCTCCCATTTTCAAAACGATCTGTAATGTGATCGTTGGCTGTTAGTGTGAAGTTCTTTTTATAAGACTGAATATTTGAGACCTGGCAGAAGGGAAGCACATATGTTAGCTGTGGAAATGATGCTTTTGCGCTTTCCCCTTTCTAGAATATCTCATTTCTGAAAAAAAGGGTAAAAGATCATGTCAAGTGGTATCTCAGTTCCTTTGTGTCTCATTATCTCCTTTGTGACTGTCACTGAGTCTCCTTTTTCTCCTTCACTTGTCATCTGTTCACCTGGATTGTACATTTCCTTTCAAGATTGACATTCTATACACTCAGAGATAACGTCTCCCAACTGCCTATGAAAGCAACTTGCTCATGTATATTAGCGACATCAAATAAAGAGCCAGCTCTTTCCAAGTCACCTGTGAAAATATTTCACAAATACCTATTACACTGCATTTGTAAATTAGCATGAGACAACTGGAAATCGTCTACCAAAGTATATGATTAAATGAAGTTTTTAAGTGAAAGATTCTCTTCTCCTTCTCTTGCCCTTTAATGTCTTTTATACCACAGGTTGCCTTCTGGTGTTGACAGATTTACCTAAAAGAGATGATAGAGCCTTGAGTTATTTAATTCCTTTTAGTAGTTACAAAGAAAAGATGCTTTGTTTTCTCCTACATTTTCTCAAGATTTACAAGGGAATAAGAGTGAAATGGGAGATATTTTTGAAATTTAAAACCATCCATAAATCTTTATGGAAATTGTATTGCCCCTTCCAAATTTATGATCAGCATTGAGAGCCTGACATAATATTTACAAATGGATTTCATCTTCTTGTTCCAGGTCTCCATCATCATGGATATTATATTAAGCTCTCTTGAAAAATAATACTTCATAAAACAAAGTTTCTACTGAGTTGAAAGTCCTATGTCATTTTACCTTTCCTCCATGGCCCTGGTGTCAGCTGTAAATGGGATGGAATATCATTTTATTGTAACACTAAACATCAGATAAAATATTTTAGATCCATGTTTGAAAATAATTACTGAGCACTTATTTTCCATCTCCCCTTGTTCTTGTACAACTTCTTCCTTGTGTCCTTTCATAGTCTTTCACAGTACAGCGATGAGAACATGATGGACCCTTATAACTTGGCCATTTGCTTTGGCCCAACGTTGATGCCTGTCCCAGAAATCCAGGATCAAGTGTCTTGCCAGGCTCATGTGAATGAAATTATCAAAACCATCATCATCCACCACGAGACTATTTTCCCAGATGCTAAAGAACTGGATGGCCCTGTTTATGAGAAATGTATGGCTGGAGATGACTACTGGTAAGTCCAAGAATTTTCATCTTCCCCCTGCCAAAAAACGTTATGGAAGTGTGGCTTTCAACAAGATTTAGTAAATTATTTCCCTATAAGCCACCAATGATTCTAATAGTTTTTAGCCTTTTTTAAGGAAGACTTGGTAACATTTAAGATAAGTTAGAATACTATGATCCCCAGAAACACCGAGTTTTTATATGAAAGTTCATATTTATCCCTCTCTTACCCCTGAGGATTATCTTTGAGAAGAGTCTACCCTGTTGTGGTTTGTTCAGCGAATAAAGCTTTTGATGTTATATGGCTATGTTAACTTTATTGTTACATTGAGTATAGAAAGGATAACTAATTGAATTAATAGCTTTCATTTTTCATTCTGTATGGGGTGTGTGTGAGAGAGAGAGACATAGAGGAAATGAGAGTGTGAACCTGGGCTTGAACTCAGGGCTTCATGCTTTCACTCTGCTCTACTTTTTTTGCTTATGGCTGGTACCCTACCACTTGGGCCATGCCACATGTCTAAGCTTTCCCCTGGTTAATTGGAGATAAGAATCTCAAGGGTTGGGGGCTGGGAAGGTGGCTCAGTGGTAGAGCGCTTGCCTTGCATGCCTGAGGCCCTGGGTTCGATTCCTTAGCACCACATAAGCACAAAGAAAAAAGCCGGAAGTGGCGCTGTGGCTCAAGTGGTAGAGCGCTAGCCTTGAGCTGAAGAGCTGAGGGACAGCGCC